AATTTTGTTCCTTCGTTTGAATCAATTCATTCAAGACGCAGAAATATTTCACTTATTCAGTATGTGATCTGTTAATTACGGTTCATATGAATAATTGTGTCGCTTAAAAAATTATTCAATGTTATTGAAGAGACTTAACTTTAAATCTTTCACACGGTTATGGATACCGCAAAATCTTCCTTCAAATTACTAGAGCTCATGGAAAGATATAATGAAGCGTACATTAGATTACTAGCATTTTGGGTTACTTAAGCGGTCGATTTGTAAGCTAAGGTGGAACCGAATACGTTACATGCGATAAGATTTTATTGAAAATGATGGGAAATTGTTTGAGAAAAGAATATTGACTGAGTGACTTTATACAACTTTCATCTATAACGAGAATTAAAACATTTGATCAATTATGAGATAAATGGATGGTAAATGAGCACAATGATAATTATGCGACGGTTGATTAGAGTATTATAGTTATTGGCACAACTTTTAAAAGCACACCGAATTAAAACAAATGACATGATGAAAATGAATAAAGCGAAAGGAAAATAAAACAAATAATATGAAACAAATAAAGCACGAGCATTATGTGAGTGAATTGGATTTGGTTTTGGATTGGTGATTGAAACGTAAAGCTGCATATAATTGGGTAATGCATCGAGAAGATCTTCAGTGAATAACATATCATAGAACATGAATATAACAAAATACAGTAATTGTACGATACAGTTAGCTGTAATCAAAACTATACAACATTTGATTCATACTTTCAAATTATTTGCAAACGTGAAACATCACTGCAATTTACGTATCTTACATAGTTGAACACAACAGAATAGCAATCGTAAGTGATATCAGAAATTGACTATGAAAGAGTGAGCGAATGATGTTTCATGTTATGGTAGGAGTAAGTGTTTTATGATACATCTGCTGGAGATTTACTGCAACCGAACTCTTAGCAACAGAATCGTATCACTTATGAGGCATCGTCAAGGCAAGGTTTCTTTAGAGTCAGGTCATCAAAAAAAGAAATGGACTTTACTGCTTCGACGACTCGATGTGACACTTCGTTTCTTATCGGATTTCTTATCTTCCTCTTCCGTATCATCACTGCTATCAGCGAACTTCTTCACTTTATCCGAATCAATTGCTATGTCCTCCAAACTGCGTCCTTTCCGAAGTTTACCCGATGCACCTCCCATAAAACTTGACATACTCGCAACGCTAGTTCGACTCCGATGCGCACTATTCATACCGGTCATCAGCGAATCCGGTGGACTTCCGCCGTAGTCCCTATATTTCGGGGAAGGTAAACCACTTCCTGAAAATTTCCTCGGGATCTAATGATTGTTTCGCAGGGTGCGAAATCATTTCTTGAGTTCTGTCTCTTCTTTCGTCTACACATTAGGATATATTATTCGTGGACATCTGAAGAATTCAAATTTATTTAATTGCTTGCAGTTTCGATTTCGAATAAAGCATCAGTTTATGGCAAGAAATTCGGAAGGGATCTGATAATTGCGTAGTCACTAGAATCATTCAAATCCTGATTGAACAATGAGAGAAGCTTGCGATTGCATTGTATCCACTACCAAACGGTTTATCAG